GCCACCATAACCACATAATCCAGAGGTATCCATAGACTCAGGTGAGACTGCTAAATGCTTTATTGTTTGATTCCTATAAGCAGCTGATATTTAAGTTTAGTAATCAAATTTTTAGAAACAACCTAAAGAATCAAGAATTATGACTAATAACATTCTTATTACCTTTTAAAATTGTAAATTGAAATACAGTTGTTTTTTTAATAATCTAGTGATTTATACCTGGTTTTCCCCTTTAAAACTGAAATTTGTAGGAAGAGGTGTGGTACTGAGTACTTGAGGTGCTAATCCTAGCTGGTCTCCATAGAACAGCCATGGAAGATTCTGTCTCCTGTAAACAATTACAGTTGTCTTAGGAATGGGGTACCAATATTAATATTTGTGAAAGTAACTGCACTGAATTTGGTTAAAATGACAGTTCATCAATCAGGATATCTTTACCAAAATGAAACAGAATGAACAGTGCGCAGTCCAGCAGTATTTTCAAAGATAAACTGAAACAGTTGGCATGCATCAAAAGTGGTAGAGTCATAAGAATTCATGTTCATCACACACATATTTCCAAGAGCTTGGCAAGATGTTAAATTGGCATAAACCTACGAGAGAACCATGGCAAAGAAATGTAACACGGACTTTAATAACTTTAATAACTATATTTGAAAGAAAACTAATTCGTTGAGTTTGCCTCTCAAACTTCTCAGTTTTCCCAATCAGGAAGAGGCAACTCCATTTTTATAGTTACTCAAATCAAACATTGCAGTGATCTTCTTTCTTTCCCTTCCCATACCCAACTCCTCAGTAAATCCTGTTGGCTCAATCTTCACTGTATATTCCGACACTGAACCTCTCTCATTTCCATGCTACACTCTTGGCTATGGGTCCACCATCTCTCACTCGGATTGCTGTAATACTCTGCTGACTGGTCTCCCTGCTTCTGCCAAATCTCCTCTCCATGCAAGTGATCCTTTCAAAACCTGAAGTTCAGTCATATTTTCCTTTGCACAAAATCCTTCTATCCCCCTTGCAGTAAACTCCAGGTCCTCGCCATAGCCACCCCTTCATCCCCAAATCTCTCTCTCCACTTTCCCTTACTTACTCTGCTCTGGCTGCTCTAGCCTCTTTCCTGTTTCTTAAGCATGAACATACCAGAGAACTCCTGTTTTGGAACCTCTGCACTTCCTGTGGTCTCTGCTTAGAACACTCTTTCCCTGGATATTTACATGGTTCACTCTCACTTCCTTCAGGGCTTTGTTCAAATATCACCAACAGAGATACCTATCCTGACCACCCTATATGAAATAGTACCCCTTCCACACTCTGTGCTCTTTATCCTGGTTTATTTGTCTTCACAGCACTTAGAACCACCTGCATTTACTTAGAATATAATTCCATGAAGGATTTTTTTCCTGTGTTTTTCTGAAATATATAATCTGATTTGAGAACAGGGCCTGGCACACAATAGGTCATTAATAAAATTTACTAAATGACAGTATGGATCACTCTCCCTTAACACTCAATTCCAGCCGAACAAGCTTGAAGACATTCAATTTTGTGTATTTTTTTTCCACCAGAAATGGCTTATTCTTCTTATAGAATATGACCCAGGAGACATATCTACTTAGAAGACCTTTATTATCTGGGGAAAAAATGGTGGCACAATTCTTCAAAATGAAATAAATTTACTTTTAAAAAATTCAAACTTACCCCACAAGCAGCTGCTGATGACTGCAAATACTTTACAAACCATTCTGAAGTGAAAGACATGCCCTATTCACAAAAAAGATAAGTTTTAGTTTCAAGTTCAAATGAAGATTCCTTACCTACATTACTAGGAAAACATTAATATGCATATTTTCCAATGGGAAATGGCTACTATTACTTTCTCAATGTTATCAGAAAATAGTTTAAATGGGAATGTAAGAATTAATTCTAACCAAACTCAGTTATTACAAATCAGGACTGCACTGCAAAATCATGTCACTTAGGCAAAAGATATGAGGAAACAAAGTGTGTCTATAATCCAAAAAAACTATTATGCCCATTTTAGTAATACAAAAAACAAAGAACAAAATGGCAAAAAATAAAAGAAAACCTGGATACTGATTTAGTATTTCATTGTTAATATTTGCTGATTTAGGATTATTATACTGTATTAAATTGGCAAGTCATAAAAGAGAAATATTTATGAATGCTTTCTAAGCAACAGGAAATTGGGGATATAGAGAGTAACTAACATTTAAAAATCTCCAAAGAAGTGATTCTCAAACAATGATGAACATCAGAATCACCTGTGAGATTTCCTAAGAAGAGAAAATGCCTGGCTGCATTCCAAATCAATCTCCAGGAGGAACCAAGACATGCATGTGCTCTGAAAGCTGCAGATACAAATCTCTGCTAAGAACCACTGCTTTAGAGCTTACCCGCACATGTTGCTAAAAAATGACACACTGAGAAACACCTTTCAGGGTAATTTACTGGACATGTACAGAGGAGATAAAACCAATTATAGGGAACATGGCACCAGAGCTATCAAAAAAAAAAATCTAAAATAAAATTATAAGTCACTATTTTCATCTTTTTAAGAAGGAAGAATTCTCACTTTTTAAGAAAAAAACCCACATCTGTGTATAAGATTGAAGATCACATTAAAAAAAAACTGAAGTTTTTTAAGTAAAAAAATGGAAAGCAATGACAACAGTGCTTGGAAATTCATGTAAAATAAACCCACAGACAATCCTAGCGGCAGCGTTAAAGCTGCATGATCTTTTCATTAAATAATATCTACACATTTTAAACCAGGAATTTAGAAGCACTTAGGAAATTTATCTTAGGGAAATAATCTCTCCAAAAGGAAAAACATATCTATTTGCATAAAATGGTTGACAGCAATATTAACAGAACACCTAAATATTCAAAGGCACTACAATTACATAAATTTCAGTGCATTAATGAGAGTGTTAAGTAGCTATTAAAAATTACATTGGTTGAGCCTGTAACATGGTATAGAGAAACCAAGGAAGTGCAAAAGGATTGATGGAGACATGTCAAAATAACACAGGAGCTTATTTCAAAATTTGAAACAATTTGAGCTTTGAAAAGAAAAATAATAGTAAACAATTATAACACACTGAATAAACAAATTTCATGAGTTCGCAAAAAACTAAAAAAAAGCACAGAGAGAAAGGAAATTTTTACAGAAGATTGCTAGCTAATAAATGTAGAGGGAGTAAGAGAACTGTGAAATTATTTTGAAATGACCAATTGAAAACTTGATTCAGGAAAGGTTGGTTCATCAATGGCCACCACATGGATAAGTAGTCTCAAAGTAAAATCTCAGACTAACTTATTAATCACAATACCTTTACAATGAAGAGAAATGGCAGATATCATGGTGACCAGGCAATCAAATTTAGCATCATCAGGAACTGGACTACCTAACATGCGCTCTTTGTTATGATGCAATGGCTGCACACAACACTATATCATATTCTTGCAAAAAAGATGTTTCTCTGAGTCTAATCATGAGAAAACAATCAGAAAAGTCCACATTGTGGGACACTCCACAAGAGAGCTGACCTTGACTCTGCATGTCAATGGCATAAAAGCAAAAACAGCAAAACCATCAACAAAAACCACAAAAGCAAAACATAGTAGGGTCTAGATTAAAGAAAACTAAAAGACTAATTGCAGTGTGGGATCCTTAAATGGATCCTTGGACTCTCGCCTCCCCATCTTCCTGCCCCTGCAAAAAGAGGAGGGAGCATGAAGGTCATTACTGGAACAAGAGGGCAAATTTGGAAATGAACAGTCTATCAGGTAATTCTATTACATTCATTTTAAATTTCTTTGGTGTGATACCAGGAAAAACCCCCTTGTTCTTAGGAGCCACATAATAAAACATTTAGGAGTGAAGTGTCATACATCTACAACTTATTTTCAAGTGGCTCAGAAAGAAAAAGCGCCTGTGTGTGTGCCCGCGTGTGTGTCTATGCATTTTACATGCACATGGAAAGATAAAGCAAATGCAGCAAAACATTAATGATTGGTTAACCTAGATGAAAGATATATATACAGTCATGGTCTCTATTTTTAACTTTTCTATAATTTTGAAATTTTCTTTTTTTTTTTAAGATTTTATTTATTTGACACAGAGACAGAGAGCACAAGCAGGGGGAGCAGCAGGCAGAGGGAAAGGAGAAGCAGGCTCCC